ATATAAATCTTCAGAAACAGGACAGAAAAAAGAGGTTTTGCAGGTACTTAGCAAAGACTGGGAAACAAAGGAACTGTTCCAGCCTTTTATCTGTAGTGGAAAGGGTTCTCTTCTGACCACCTTTTTTCCTGGAGGAACCATTTTCTCCGCTGCTATGTTTGGACACCTCAGCCTGCTGACCTGTAGATCCTTTGCATTAGCAGAGCTGTCACTTTCCTGTCAGAGGAATATAAATTACTACTACTAACAGACAGAGATGGGGACTGTGGTGGGGGTGAAGTGCCAAAGAAGTGCTCAGACTTCACAGCATCCCTGTAGGTTTCACGTCAAGCCCTTGCAAGTGGTGACCTAGAGCATTCCGCTGACGTTTTTTGCCTTTCCTTTTTTCTTTTTTTTTTTTACATAGGTGATTTCTTTTCCACTTGTTGTTGCTCTTTCTTCTAATTTTTAAGAAGAAATAAAACAGTCACTCTGCTCTGTTGAAACTGAGACTGATGAATTTCAAAGTGCAATGAAATTACTGTTATGCCAATAATGACCCGTGTTCTTTGTTTCTTGTATGACAGGGAATATGAATACCTATCCCTGAGCATTAAAGCTCTTTCAAATTCCCAAACCACATTTGGATAAGGGTAATTCTGGCATACTGTGGCCTTGTGTACGTCTTGCAGTGGCATGCCTCTGTGACAACTTGCTGCAAGAAGGAATTCGTAAGGAATTATTACAGTTACACTGGTCCTAGGACAAGAAGACCAGTTCTATCTGGATAGAGGAGATCCTATAGCAGACCTGATCAAGGGATATGGAATGAGCTGAAAATTTCCCAGGTCATTCCTGGTAATTGTTTTAAATTAGAAATTCCTGAAGTCAACAATAACCATTTGCACTAGCTATCAGAGGTGGATGGAGGGGCAAAAAGGGAACAGAAGACATTTTCATGTATCAGCCTGCCTTTGAAGGGGATGGGGAGGCACAGTAACACAAGCTTTCCTCCCCCTGGGTTTACTAAGGCCTGTTTTCCCTTTCATTTGTAGGACTCCCTGACGCTTGGGATGATGGGTTCCCATCAGCAGAAAGGTGATGGCCAAGGGATCTCTGGGCAGTCTGGTGGATGCCATGGCAGTGGCGGTGGAGGAGGATCCTGCCACAGTAGTGGTGAAGGAGGATCTCTAGGATACCAGCTCCAAGGATAATCCTGCCATGGAGGAGGAGGCAGCGGCAGCTGCGGTGGCGGTGGCGGTGGCGGTGGTGTTATTTACCAGACCCACATATCATCGTCCTCCTTTGGAGGAGGAGCAGGTTCAGGCCACCAGAGCCAAGGATCCATCTGTGGCGGCGGCGGAGGTGGAGGAGGTGGTGGTGGGTCAGGCCACCAGGGACAAGGACCCATCTGCATTATTGGAGGAGGAGGAGGTGGTAGTGGAGGCGGTGGTGGTTCGGGCCACCAAAGTCAAGGCCCCATCTGCATTGGAGGCGGCAGCATGGGAGGAGGAGGTGGAGGTGGTTCTGGGCACAAGGGCCAAGGCCCCATCTGTATTGGAGGTGGCAGCCTAGG